GTAAATTGCACTAAATTAAAAAGTATACTAATCATTGTTTTTTCAATTTATATATACAAATTCTAATGATATTGAACATATTTGTGTATATATATATGTATATAACAAAATCCAGATCGAAGATTAAAGAGAGCAAGATAGTGTACTGTATATCTGCAGCAGGTTTAGTAGAAAGAAATTGAAGGAAGTTGGACACTAACAACAGAACAAGGCCAAGCAAATTAGAAGTAGCAGCCGCCCAATTTTTCTTATGAGAGGAGTTTGATTAGCCAACTTAGGAGAAGAGACTTCTGCCTTTGGTCAATGAGAAAGCCAATTGAAGGACTAAATATTTGGACATCGGTCCTCCTTAATTAGATGGTGCAGGAAACCTGGTCAACCAAATATTAAAGCTATTTTAGGGTAGACTGAAGCTTGCTACCCCCAGAAGTATATGTAAGTTGAGGGTAATTATCTCACTAGAGTAAGATTTAGAGATTTTTCATTCTTCAATTAGAGGGAGGATGACAATTTGTAAGGTTGTGTTTGGGATGCATTTTACTTATTGTTTTAAGGGTTTATTTATACTGTACTTTAAAAATTATTACTTTTTATCACTTTTATCATATTTAATGATTATTACTTTTATTTTGAAAATGATAAAATTAATTTTTTGATTTAACTATAAATATCATGTGTTAGGTTTTTATTAGTTAATTTTAAATTAAAAATTAATTTTTAATATAAAATTTTACTTTTTTAAGAAAAAAATTATAATTAATACATAATAATAATTTTTTATTATGTACCTTAAACACACAAGATAGGCAAATCCTTGTTTTAAAATTCAAATCAATCTGATTAGATTAACTAGTTCAATTAGAATTAATCTCAAAAAACAGTTTGGATTAATGCTTGGTCTGGGAATTGTAAATTTTTTAATTTTTTAATATCTCAAAAAAATATATAAAACATATCTAATATACCTAATATTTATTTTCACCATATTTTAGATATTTTTTAGATGGTGATAAGTATATATATATATTTTTTAAGATAATAAAAAGACAAAAAAGTCAAAAGTTAAAGATCTAGTGGAAAATGTTTTTCCAAACTAAACCTAAGATATTACATAGTAGTAGTCAAAATCTAGTCAACACCCACTAGAATTTAGCTAAATTTGATCAAACTCAGTTAAGTCTAATAAAATCCGATCAACACAAATTGGTTCATTTTTTTTCTTTTATTTTTCCGTACATTTTTACTCTTTTTTTTTTTTCATTTTTGTTTAATCTCTTATTTATTTATTTTACAGATAGTATAAATATTTAAGAATAGGGTTTTCCATATTTTGTTCTCGTGGAAATTCTTTGATTTGGTGTGTGAACTATCAATTTCGATGGTTTAGTGATGCTGAGAACTAGAAATATGAAGAAATTGGTTTTTCTAAGATTGTGATTCTAGTAAAATTGTTGATTTTTATATGTAGATATGTGAGAGAGGAGCATTGAGGATGAAAGGAATTTGTTTATGCTGGAGCTTTTTAAGAAACCCATATTCTGATGTGGGTTTTCCTTCGAAGAAGGTGAAGATTAGTTCTCCGGTGGTATCAGAGCCTTGATTTTCCAAAAACAAAAGTTTTAATTATGAGTTTATTTCATCTTAATTAGTATTAAATATATAATAATCAAAGTCATTTAATATTTTTACACATCATCAAAATGATTTAATTGAATTTAAGAGAAATGGGTCCATTTAGATCAAAATGTTGCAATATGGATATTAATATAATGTCCAAGTCAGCAATACATTTGAAGTTAGTTCTAGAGAAATGGTGTTAACGGTGTTTACAGGAGATTTGACGGAAGTTAGTTTTCTGTACAATTGGGACTTTATTTGAGAATTTTGTGGAATTTAAGACTTTAATTGAATGCAATTGAAGTTTGGATCTAAAATTATGAATTTTGTGTAAGTTCGGGTCTTTATATCATATTTTTGCCTACACTAATTTATTTGAAGGGACTAAAGAGAAAGGGGGAGATACCTCAGATAGGGTGTTAATTAAGTGTCTACTAACTAATTACTATGTAAAAGCACAAAATATGAAAATGAGAAATCTAACAAATTGCTCAAAAAAGAAAAAATAATAATATGATAATGAAAATCTGAAAAGAATTAATGAAAAAAATATAAACTAAATCTAATAATGTGGTCATGAATTAATCTATAATAAGTACTGAGATATATATTAAAGAAAAAATAAAAAGAATCTTAAAGATATAGATAGATGGTGTACTTACAATGCAAGATTAGTGGAGGAAATAGGCAAAATTAAGACACTGATAACCAACTTGGGTCTTTCAAAGCAAATTGTTAGAAGTAGCGGCAGGTTCAATTTCTGATGCGAGGAGTTGATGAGCCAAGCGAGGAGAAGAAACAACTTAAATAGGCACTAGGCAATAGCAGGGTACATTTCCTGAGAGATGCTTAGCAAATGTAAGTGAAATCAACGAGAGAATCTTATTGTATCAAAAAGAAAGACTTGAAAGATAGAAGTGTAAAATACATGAAAATAAGTATTATTTCACACCCAGTCTATATAAATATATTTTAAATTAAATTATTGAACTCAAAGTTTTTGTAAAAAAAATTGAAGTATAAGGTTCTTAATTTTTTTTTGATATTGTACGGTAAAAATTATTTGAGAAATATTAAGATTATTTATATATTCTTCAAATTTAACAAATTTACTTAAAAATTGAGTTTTAAATTGATACTAAA